TTATTATTATTATTAACCTACGATATTCTATTTTTTCTTCATATTTTATTTCATTATTTTTTTCTAATGTTTCTTATTCTGCTGCCAATATTCCATATGTTTATCCGATGGTATCTTAATAAGAAATTCTTGTGAAAGTTGTTTTACTTTATCTGCTACATTCCTTATAACAGAACCCATTTCCATATCTTGCTCGATACCCTGATGCAGATGTCCTAACTTCAAGTGATCAAGTTGTGGCAACTGTCACAGATGACAGATTGGACATCTGGCAACAGGGTAAAAATTACATGAAATAAGTTATATCTTCTCCTGTTTTCATATTGTCACCCTGATAGCCTCACCAGTCACCTTTAAAATCCTGATCAAAATCTGCAGTAGATTTTTCTATTTAATGAATGTTAGCCCAAACTTGCTTGAGGCTTTGAAAAAGAAAATTTTGAGCTCAATTCTACTTTTCAGGGCATTAGAAAGGCAAATAGTTCTTCTAGCCAGGAGAGTACGGTAGATGAATATATATTATCTAGATAACAAACAAGAAGTGCATTTGCTTGTCTTTTCTTTTGCAAAGAATCAAGAGTACTGGCAGATAGAACCATGTTGAATTAATTGTGGTCTGCCTTTATGGTTCCTTACATACCTACACCAGATCCCATTACCTTGTTTGGGTTTTGTTCATTTGCAAATGGAAGACTGAACTGGAATCAATTCACATAATAGCCCTAAGTCCCTCTTTTCTCCTTCCAATCATTTGCTTCAATCTTGTTTTCTTCATAAATTTTGGATAAAATTTTTCATGCAACCCCATTGCTGTAATTACTGTTTCTTTGCCATGGACAGTTAGAGCTCCCTACAATATTGGAATTTTCCGCTGGAGACCAACAGAGCCTGCAAAAAAATTAGCAAAAGAAAGGAAAGATATGCTTTTAGCTCATGAAAAGATCTGGGATCAGATTGGATTTAATAATCTTGTACTCAGGCAGTTAGGACCATCTGTAGATGGGGACAGTGGACTTGCATGTGCTTCTGATGGAAATCTCAAACTGGGAATTTCGCCAGCAAGTATATTTTGTAATGGACATACATTTTCTGTTCAGGTAGGATTAACATGTTAGATACTTAACACGTTCATGTATTTAAACTTTAACCTCTAGACTTATCTGGAAAGACTGGAAATTATTAGCAGCATTGTTTGTAACATCAAGTCCTAAGCCCTGTGCCATTCGCAGGCCATGCCTCAACAACTGAGGATGGAACCATATGCTGTGCATACCACATTCCGGTATGCTGGTACAGAAGGAAATCGTCACAGATTGAGGGGAGGAAGGTTTTTCTTTGATCCACCTGAATATTATGATGCCCCAGGTAATGTTTTGCTAAGGCTTCTCCCTTGATTTGATGTACTTTAAACATTCACATTATTCTCACAAATGTGATTTATCTGAAGTGTGCTTTTGTCTGGGAAATATTGATTTTCTTTAGGAGAATTGTTTTATGCTGAGGAATAAAACTCTATAATATGCGATTTACATGTTTCTGCCTTTATTTAATGGCATTTATATTTATGGAACTTGATCTTTCTTTTATATTTGAACTTTCTAAGCAATGAAACTAATTCCAATCTGAATTTAGAACTCAAACTTGGTAAACCTTTTGAGGAAACCCTGCAGGAGGTTTCTTGTCATTTAAACCTTCCATTCCAAAAAGTTTATTACTGGATGGGGTGCATAATCTTGAATCACACTTTTCTCTTGTTAATTACCAAGTATGTAACATTAACCTTGTAGAGTCTCTTGATTTATATCCTGTGTGTTGATCCTCATAACATAAATTTTTGGTAATCCTTTCAGATAAAACAAATAAGATCAGCGCTTGCTGTTGCATTATAGTTGAACCGTACACTTGTGAGAATACCTTCATTGCTTGTAGTTTATGAATGACTTTCTTGACGATGGGTGATATTTTGATAGCTAGTTAGTAGCAGAAACCAGAAGATGTCATTGCCCCATCTTTTATCAAGTGTTGCAGTATTACATTTTCATCCCTCATCCCTGATTTATCACCCTGTTTGGAAAACATATAATGACTGTCAGCCTGTTCTCTAGTTTGGGAAAACTTAAACCCACCTTTCTTTTCTTTCTTTTTTTTTTTCTTGCTATTTCAAATTTCATTTTATTATTGGTTTGGAGAATCAGTATAATCAATTTTGCAATAGCAACATGTCTGCAAAATTAAGTTTGGAAAAAGCTCCTTTTAAAAAGAGAAAATTTAATCCAACTGGATGCTGCAGAGAGAGCCAGCCACTACAAACAAAATTAACTCTGGTGGTGAGGAAAGCTACCAGTTGCTTGTATTTGTTTTTAGCTTTTACCTCAACCTACAAACAGCATGTTTTGCATGAAAAGCATGAGGAAAAAAAAAGGCATAAAGAAAACGTGGTGATCTGTATACACACTGCAAGAATAATTTCCACATTAATTGACTTCAATTACGAATGAGTAACCTTGTCTTGTTTTGTCAACTTCAGCTTATGCCTCCAATGTGGTGGAGGTTCGATAGAATCTGGTTTCCACATCCTGGAGCTCTGGAGGGTTCAATTACTAGACAACCTTTTCTGTGCCCATTAGACCATGTGTTTGAGGGATGTTGAAACTAACTGTAAAAGCTATTAGTTCATTTGCTGCTTTCTGCTGGTTGTAATGGTTTGGGATGGGGGATTATGCTCCTTGCCAATTGAGCTGTACTAGCCCATGAGCTGTTCTGAACTTCTTTATTAAATTGATTTCATATATTTCTTTCAAACTTGTATTCGTATCTTCTAGCTACATTGAATATGTATGGCAAATGGCTTTTAAAAAGATAGTTTTTGTTACCTTGAAATTTTAAGGAATATGTGATGACTTGCAGGTGAATGTTATGTTGAAAGATTTGCCTGCAGAGGAATTTGGCCCTGCTATCAACATCCGAGAGTACTCTTTTCTTGATAATCCATCATTGCCAAAGCAAGTAAATAAGCATCCCTGACATTTAGATTAGTGTCTATTTTTAGTGATCTTCCAATAGTCAGGGAAGTTTTGATGTTGGTTCTCAGGTGAAAGATTCATGGCTTGATGTTCACTCTTAAATGGATTGCCTTACTTAAATTCCCCGGCTGGTTTTATAAGCAATTGTTTCCAATAGAATTAATATACTTTTGGTGGGACTTTCTGGAATGAACTTTCAGCTATATTTCTTATAAGTTGGTTTTAGTTGAATTAAGTTGGAAATTGACAACTTCTGCTTCTTCCATGAGTATTTGCTATTAAGCGCTTTGATTTTTATTTCTTCGGGAGCTCAAATTAAGAGATTCTCTAGGTCTAAGCTGCTAAATCATATTCACTTAAGAAATCATATTAAACCAAGAAAAGCTTTCCTCTTAAAAAAGGGGGGCTATGGTGGAACAAAATAAGACAACAACAAAAGGGTTTGTAAAAAACTTCCCCTTCCTAGGAAATCCTACGGTTGTGAGGTCAGATTGAGATTGCAAAAAATTCTCTCTACTGCCATGAATCTGGGGTGTGTATTTGGTTTTTTTTTTTTTTTTGTACATTGGAGGTTAGCTGCTTGGGATAACAAGAATTTGAACTTTTGATTTTGACCTCAAATCAAGGTTTTTTAGTTAGTAAGTACTAATTCGACCAAGCTCTTATTGATTGGGGTGTGTAATTGTTATTGAGATGACAATTCTTCAAACTCGTAACTATCATTGTTTTTTATTTCATCATGTGATGTACATAAAGTACGTAAAAGTTATTCAATTCTCTTCAATGCAAGATGCTTTCTCCGGATTCACTGACAAGGCAAGTCTAACTGTTTCATCTCATCACCTCTTTTTACTTCTTCGTGCTTGTATTCTACATCTGAATTTATAGAATGATGAATAATTTCATCTTTACTGATCTTGCACTTATGCATTATGAAATTATTATACTCAGACGAGAGAAGAAATTCAGGAATCGTGTCAAGCGGTACGTTGGTATATGGTGCTGTGTTATGAACCACATTCCTGGACACATTTACTACGACATGTATTGGGATGAGAAACCCAACTGGAAACCCATCCCACCTCCGACTCCACGGGAAGATCATCCACCATGGTGAGGCATATCTCGTTTTTCTTTTTCTTTTTTTCTTTTTTTTTTTTTGTCATAATACCAGCAACTTAGAGGAGACAAGAAGGGAGAAAACAAGAACGGTAGAAACGGGTTTAGGCTTCCTTTAATAATACTTCTTGGTGATTTAGTTTTTGATTTTTATGTATTTAACTATTTTAAAAATATATAAAATGTTAATTAAAAATTAATATTAAATATATATTTTATATATTTTATATTTTTGAGATGTTAAAAAATAAAAAAACTTACAATGATTGTTATGTATTAGTATTGTCAAACTAAGAGTTCCTTTGAGAACATTTGGTGGTTCTTTAATTTTTAGTTTTTATGTCTTTTTATTATTTTAAATTTTATTATTTTAAAAAATATAAAATGTTATTTAAAATAAATATTAAATATATTAAATATATGTTATATATTTTTAAAATGTTAAATGACTAAAAACCTTTCCACTATAGTTACAAACCAATATCATCAAACTAGGCCTTAGCCTTAGCTCCTAACCCTTCTGTAACACTAAACAGTGTTGTGGTAAGAGTTCAAATTTTTGCAATCAAATATTTGAAACGGAGAAGGAATGATGTATTCTTTCTGTGAAACATTAGGAAAAAAAATTGACAGATACTTGAAATTTCCAGTTTCCACAGTGTGGATAATGATGATGGAACATTTTAAATTCTTGCTTCCATAATATGATCAGAGTAAAACCTTAATTAAGGAGGGAATCCCAGAAGGTATTATCTCTCGCAGCCTATGAATTCCTCTTTGTTTTTTTCACTAATGGTCAACAAGAAAGACTCCTTTTAGTATTATATGGAAAGAGCTATGGAATTGCCTGCTCGTGTTTGATGCTGAATGGCTAAAACAGAATCATTTCCTGAACTTTCTCGTCAGAATTCCACTATATTTGCTTTTGTTGTTGATGCTTTGCCTTTGAAGGATAGTGGAATGAGGAATGTATCCTAATGTACTTTTAGGTTTTCTAATTAGACAGGTTTTCTTCTCTGTATTTCTTTCGAATCAGCTTAGCTTCGCCCATTCGGCTGTGAAAATCAATCAAACAAATGGCTGTCATTGCCCAACATATTCCAATCTCCAAAGAAACAAATAACCCTCAGCAATTAGAAGCGTCTTTAGAATTAAAGAGAAAATAAAACAGCCGTCCGCTTCATTGCTGAATGCTATGAGATGACATTTAGAACTCCCAAGATGACTTCAGGAACTTTTACCATGTAACGTCCAGTGGATGCCAGCAGGATATTACTATTGGAAAAAGGAAGAGTCTCTACAGTCTACACACAAACCAAAAGAAGATACTTCATGGAGAAAAAGCCTCTTGGCAGAAAATGAATAGGATCAAAATTCCCAGGACTATTTTAATGGAATCAGTCAAATATGGACTCAAGGATCACAAAAAGCAAACTTGTACCTCAATGACTAAGTTTAAAAGTTATAACCATCACGCACCTGGTGAATTACAAAGATGGTATAAAGAAAAGCATACTATAGAATTTGACTATAAAGTGGCATCAGCAACTAGTGTGAGAAGCTCATTTATGCAAAAGAGTACACATGCTCCTCACTGGCGAAATGACCTCCACTGGCGAAATGACCTCTTGCATGACAAAATTTCCAAACAGCTCAGCTGAGATCTTCCGCCATTACCCAACACAGATGCCCCTGTCATTTTGTTGCAACCAGACACTGCAAACAGAAGAACTTCTTTAGTTGCCACAAGACAAGCAAATTACTCGCGTGCAACAAACTAGATGAAGTGAATTATGCACACCTGTTTGCTAATTACGTCAATCATCCAAATAATAATATGATCCTGCAGCCTTTTGCTCTCTGTCCTTGGTTGAATCCAATTTGTTGATTCTTGGCCGGTAATTAGTTGGATCCCGCCTAAATGTGATATCCAGATGCTGCATTGCGGGCAATAAGATGCAACAGTGAGGGTCATATGGTATGCATGGCAGAAAGTAAATTCCAGATGTAAGAAGAAAATTCAAGTGGAAAGTAAATTCCAGATGTAAGAAGAAAATTGAAGTGGCAAAGAGTATGTAGCAGCAAGATACATATCATGTAACAATTGAGTAACTTTAATCATTGGCATTTATACATTTGAGACTTGAGCTACCAGAACTAAATTACTATAATGAGGTATGAGTACCATAACCAAAACAAAATATTTCACAAAATCAGTTTCCATATCTAGCAAGTATTGAACAACTATGCCTTAGGACAATAACAAGTAATATAGATGCAAGGAAACAGTTGCACAACTTACAGATAAGAACAGATTCATCCCAGTCAACAATGATTGAGGAGAATTTGCAATACAATCAACTGAAGGCTCTCCCTCATACACAATAACCCTATCTGCCAGATAAGTTGCCATAATGAAGTCATGCTCAACAACAAATGCTGTTTTCTTCGCGTGGAGGATAAACCTCTTTATGACTTTAGAAGCAACAATACGTTGCTCAGAATCAAGATAAGCACTGGGTTCATCTATCAAGTAAATATCTGCTGGCTGCAAAAAATAACTCACTCATCAGACACACCAATGTAATAATGGTAATACATCTTGCTAATGGCAAAGTATGAAACAGCATAGCAGCTAAAATGAACACAAACACTACTTATGGAGCACACCTAAAATTTAAGTTAATTCTTTATTGAGGCAAGAATGCATAATGAACTTTGTTTTCTCCCTCTAATTATTCTGTTTCTTGATTCTTTTTCTTATTACTTCTTACTTATTTTATGACATGCATTTTTGCTTTATGGTATTTTAGAAACTTACCTTTCCGAGGCATAGACATAATGCAACTCTTTGCAACTCTCCTCCGGAGAGATTCACAACTTCCTGATCCATCAATTGTTCGATCAGAAGAGGCTTCATCACATCTGACACAAACTGAGGATGCATATATGAATCCCGTATCTTTGAATGTAGCAAGTGCCTAACTGTGGACTGAAATTTTGGGCTGATCTTCTGGGGCTTATATGAAACATTAAACTCAGGAATCTCCACATCAGAACCTTCTACACAATCAGGTTTCAGCAAACCAGCCTGTAGGTTGATTCCATAATATAAATCAACTAGTGCTAGAGATTGGAGATCTAAAGATTCAAAACACACAAATCTCAAGACAGAAATAAAAGATAAAAGTAAGAAATTACCAGCATGCGAATAAATGTTGTCTTCCCTGTCCCATTCTCACCCAGCATTACAATAATCTGAGAATCAGTAAATTCACCCTCAATCACTTTAAGTTTAAAATTGCCCTGAGTTTTAGTCATGGTTGGGTATTTATAACGTGCATAGGTCTCAATCTCTTCAGCACTTTCCTGTGGGGTCTCAGCAACCTAGAGAAAAAGAATAAAAGATGGAAAATTAGAAAAGTTAAAAGAAAACAAAAATCAAAAGCACAAAGTTGTCAAAAGTAGAAGGATTACCTTGAAGGTTAAAGATTCATCTCGGAACCTCAAATTTTCAGTAGGAACAAATCCTGCCAAGAAGATATTGATCCCTTCTCTTACAGAAAATGGGAGGGTTACAACTCCGTATGCACCTGGCTTCCCATACAAGCAGCAAATGAAGTCCGATAAGTAATCTAGGACGCTGAGATCATGCTCAACAACAATCACATAGCTGAAACAGAAAACAAAAAAGGTTAAATCATCCCAGTTAAATCTGTGCAGCCAACTAGAGAAAAGAAATCAGAGACAGGAAATAATTTAACCTATTGGGCCTGAGCAAAGATCTGACAACTTGTGCAGCTTTAAGCCTCTGTTTCACATCAAGATAACTCGAAGGTTCATCAAACATATATATCTCTGCATTCTGTATGGCAACAACTGCAATGGCAAACCTCTGAAGCTCTCCACCAGATAAATCCCCTACATTGCGATCTATGACCTGGTTTAGTTCAAGATCAACACAAAGTTGTGCCTTCATCTCTCTCTCATCTTTTTGGTCAAGCACCTGGCCCACATTGCCTTGAACTGCCTTTGGAATGTGATCAACATATTGGGGCTTAATGATTGCCTGGTCCATACAAAGCACAACTTCAGAAGGATGACAGCAATGCAATATTGAGGATCTTAAGGATAACAGAAAGCAAGGTTTCCAAAGGTACACAGCAATAAAAGCCAGCAACAATAAACCAGGCTAACACAACTTAGAGCCCATTCACTTGTCAAATAAACTTTTGGAGGTCTTACAATTCATGAACATTTTAAAAACTACAAAGTAAATAGCAAGTAGCAATATATTTAATCAGATAACTCAAGCAGAATAAAAATGCAATAAGGCTTTAGATTAAGCATCTAAAAATCAATCTCAGATTCAGCAACTCAAAAGTAGAGTACCAAAAAAATCTAAAAGGTAAACTTAACCATCCTTAGAATCTTGAGGAATTTAGTTGCATGCTGACAAAAATGCAGAGAAATTGTTAAGTTATGACCTTCAAATTATCTTCCAGAATGCGGGTAAAATAATTCTGCAACTCTGATCCTCGAAAATAAGTCAAAATTTCCTGCCAATCAGGAGGATTCTGCAAAAGGATTGTCCAAAATGGTTAACAGACATGCATCAAGAAACAATCAAGGAAATAATGTCTAAGGAAGTTACATTGAAACGACCCAAATTTGGCTTCAATTTTCCAGCCAACACTTTAAGAGCAGTTGACTTCCCAATTCCATTTGTTCCAACCAAGCCAAGAACTTGACCTGGCCTTGGGACTGGTAACCTGAAATTGTAATTCTCCACTATCTCAAATCATTAAAAAGAAGGTATCAATGGTTTTCCAGGAAGTGGACAATGAACCAACCTGTGCAATTTGAAAGTGTTCGGCCCGTAACGATGAGTTGTATCTTTATCCAAATCTCTGGGCAAGTTAATGATCTGAATTGCTTCAAAGGGGCATTTCTGCATCACCAGATCAAGGGTTCAGCAACATCAAATATAAAACTTCTCTATTTCTCTCTACTGAGTGCAGACAACTACAAACCTTAACACAGATACCACACCCAATGCACAACTCCTCAGAGATGAAAGCAATCTTTGATGCAGGGGTTACCTCAATACACAGTTTCCCTGTAAACAACAGGTCAGGAACCAAAATATTCAAACAGAAATACACACAAAAGTACATCGCACAAACATTTACTGTCAAATAGCTTCTGAAGAAGCTTGAACAGTAAAAGATCAAACTCTCCAATTAACTAGACCTTCCAATGTCAAAAAGAGGGAGAAAAGTTACCAAACTACCAAAAAAATTTTTTTTGAGTTCATCTAGATCAATTATTTTTAACAGAAGCAAGCCATTTTTTCCGTAATTACAAGCAAAGCAATTACAAGAGGCTCTTCAAGAAAATCACTTTCTCCATGAAGCTAGACTAATTCATAAAATTCTTCAATAAATAACAAAAAAAAAAA